TTTGGCTTATAACTAAATACATGAATTTTGTAAATTTCTATATACTTAATTAGAAATGCAAGGCTAGTTAAAAAGACTGTTTTTGTGAAAAATCGCTTTGCAATAAATTTTCGTAGAAAATTTTTTGATAATCCTTGATCATGATTGGCTAATTTTGGGGTCAAAATAAATCAGCTGATATGAATTTTATTCATTTAATTACAGACTCCTCAACAATGTTGTTAAATAAATTAATTATTTTATATATTTTAGGTAGATGTTTAGCCAATGAAGAGTATTTTATCTAAGTTATCTATCAAGTAGAAATGTAATCCGAAACTACTATCAAGATCTTTAGGAATAGTGATGCAAACCGAACATTGAACAGATAATATAAATAATCTACAGATTTTTTTAAACTACAGTTAACTTTATAATTTTAAATTGCAACTTATATTAACTGATATGATAATTTATGATTCATATCTCTAATTACGATTAGCAAATAATGCACAAAAATAAAATTGTTAATTTCAATTTGGAAACATATTCATCTTATATATCGAACATGCTCTAATTGTATTATGTATTATAAAGTAATTTAATTTTGTAATGTTTATTGTATCTTTTTTAATTGATAAGTATTGCTCAATTAAAATTATTATTGGTACTTGTATAATGATTGATAAAAATTATTTTTTCAAGCACAGTAATGATTAAGGCCATTCGATGTTGATTCTTTGGTTAATATCACTTTTAGAACTCTTGAGAGAGAGGGAATAAAATTAAACAAATATATAGAATAAACAAATATAGGACAATTTGATTAGTTGATGTATATCAAGAGATTGGTGAGAGTTTTCCAGCATTTTGATTGGTTGTTTATTTCTCGGAGGAGCCATCAACTGAGGGGGTGATGTTAACCGAAGAATCAACTTCGAATGGTCTAATCACATAGCTAAGGATTTACACATACAACAAAGTACAAGCTTCTTATAATTCATTTGATTCTATTGCCAGATATAATGAAACAGGATTTAAAGATGATACAAAATATTGGTTGGCAACACAATTAAAAAATGATTTAAGAATTGATGAAAAGCTTTTGACTTTATATTCAGATGTTTCCAATAGTAGATTGGATCAAAATATAAAATGATACCAAAATATGGTTGTCAAGAGCTTTTGACTACCCGTAATTAAAAAAATATTTATAAAAACTTCATAAATTATAAATATGACAATTAAGAATCCCCTATTTTTCGTATTGTTAGTACGCATTGCACTGAAAATACATGACAATCATAATTATAAATAGTTTTCTTAAATGATGTGATTTTATTTTTTAACTATGTAACTCTATTAATCATTATTACGATTGCGATTAGTACACGTTACTCAACTTTCAGAAATAATAACATCTGGTTACAACATTTTAAACGTTTGAATCCATAATAACTTATTGTAAATAACTTCCACATATTTATAACTCAACATTTAAGATTGTTATAAATTATACGAGCTTTAATGTAAGATGATTTTATTGAATGAACTTTTTTACTGTAGCGGTAGTATATTATTGGAGGTGCTGTAAATCTATCGCTATTAGCAAATTAAATTTTGGTCAGCATTATTTATATTACACAAATGAAGTTATCTAAGTTAACAATAGAAAATTCCAAAATCACATTTTTCTGACAATCGGAATTTTATTCCAAAATCCAATGAAATTATTATAGTATTGTGCTATAATGATAAGAGATTTTTGACATTGTAAGAAATATATAAATATAACTCATTTCTGGAGCAAAAAACAATCACGAGCATAAAGATTTGAAATATAACTGATAAAAAATGCATATTATTTCTAATTCACATTGCACATCACATATGAAAACCTCACAATCCAATGTACTTAACAAGGCTAAATCAAAGAAAACACACACTTCTTATGTAAAACTTGCATGTACTAGCTGTCAAAACAAAAAAGAAAAGTGTTCTGGTGAAGTAATATACGTGAGTTGTAAGGGCATAATCGTGAATACATATATGTTAAATCAGATAAAAAAGAGAACCCAAACTTTATTCTACTAAAAAACCAATTACTGTACAGTACTGACTAAAATATCATCCCTATGTATAATATCTCTTCCTATGTATTTAAAGGTTCTCTCTAAAATATCCAGATATAGTTGTTTATACTATGTACCATATACATATATGAATACATATCTTATTAGACCAAAGTACTCCAGTCATACTCCTCGAGTAAAATATCCAACAAAATGGTCTATTTGTAAAAGATCCCGGGTACTTAAGTCAGTACTGTACGGTACTCCAGTGATAGCAAATTTATTAAATCCAGTTACTTAACCTATTGTTAATTCACAGTTTATCTTGGCGATAGCTGTAATTTTTGATTTATGTTGTATAATAATAGAATAATAGTAATTATAATAAATTTAATATAAAATTTTGTGAACATGATTTTTCGTACAGTATGTCCTAATTGAATTTTTTCTTATTGTTATTTGGTTACAAATCTTACAAATCTAATTGCGGATAATATTATACAATAGTGTACAAATTCAGTGAATGGTATCGATTAATTTGTAGAACCCAAATTTTGAATTTTTTTTTACTTTACCAATTAGCAATAAAGTAGAAATATATGAATCTTGTTCTTAAAAATCTCCATTATTTTCTTGTAGCAATTGTCTTTTTTTTTGCGATCTTTTGATTTTATTTTGTTTTTCATAAGTTACTCAAAAACTTTATAAACATTTTTTGGATCTTTTTTTTGAAAGCATCTTCAGCGCACAAATAACTGATCCTTTAATATAATAAATATCTGATTAAAGAATACACATCATTTTAACAGCCTTATAATAGTGCTGGCCTGATGCCAATATGCCTGATAAAGTCTTTTTTTAAAAACTACCATCTCTTCACAAAACACTTCAGATATTTCAAATATAACTTACTAATTAAATAGTATTAAAATTGTAATGAATTATTTATTATACTTATATTTTTAATATTCATTAATTTTTTAAGAAGCTTTTGATTTTATTTTATCACTTTCGGCTTTAAAAAATAATATATCATAAATTTTTAAAGCATCATTATATTGTTGTTTTTGGCCAAGATAATTTGTGATACTTAAAGTGTATACTTCATTTTTTTCAGTGTCCTTCCCATATAAATTACAAAGTACAATATAATATATGGCAGTACCATATATTTCAATACCCTTATCATGAGTATAATTTTCTTGTATTTCGCTAGTAAGTTTTTTGAAGAGATTGTAGGCCGATTTATAGTTTCTTAAATTATAAAGTTGTTTTGCAAGGTCTAATTTAGACGCATTCCAACTTTTACCTGAAGGTATTTTATTCATATTTCTAATGATAATTGTTCTTTTTTACAATTTTTGTTCCATATTTATAATTTTTTAAAAATATTGAAAATTGTGTATTTAGATAATTTAAAGTATTTGACAATACAGTAAGTATATATAAAATCTTTAAATAGTGCACTAATACTATATTGATTTTAAGAACCTTACAAAATGATAACCAAAAACTAAACTGATAGCATCTTTTCTGTTAGGATTGCTAAATTTTACTTATAAAATTTAGGTGCATCAATCATTAAATGATTCAATCTATTCACGAATAATTCATATTTCAATTTGTTGACATTGAAATTAAATAATTCATATTTAAATTGAAAAAAATACAATTATCTGTATTGTACAAGAGTGTTAAAACTAAGATGAATTACTAATGAAAACAAATTAATTACGCATATTGTGACAATTAGGTGCTCGCTATTCTTGAATAGCATTATATTTTATATAACCTGTATGTTCTATATACTTTATTAAAATATATATCAAAATGAAATTAACAAAATTAACAAAAGATTGTTATTTAGAAATTATCAAAAACTTTGAATATGATCACCAAACTTTATATAATTTCCTCTTAGTTAATCGCTTATTTTGTCACATTACAGTACCTCTGTTATGGGCTAACCCTTTATATAATTTATCTTTTACTGTGACATAAAATGCTGCAAGCAAAATCTCAAAGCCTTAGAAAACTAATTTTGCAAGGAATCAAGTTTGACAAAAATAATCTTGCATATCCTGTACTGAACATTGAGCTTTTATCACATTCCTTTGAAAATCCTTTTGAAGAAGATGAAAATAATTTACAAAATCTTCAAAGACTCAAATTAATAGATAATACCATAGAATTAAATAGAATTATACTTAAGGCAAAAGGCAAATCACTAAAATTTTTTATGATAAATAAGAAGGAATTGAGTAATAAAGTAAAAGAAGAATTTATTTTTTTGCTTAGTCAAAATTATCCAAACATAACTACTTTATGCTATGTGACCAATAATCTTATGTTCTTTTCTACACTTGAAAATTTTCATAGTCTTTGTCAATTACAAATAGGAGGATTTGCTTATTATGATATTCCTTATAGTAGTCAAAATTATTTACAAGCTTTAATCAAATATTTATTTTGCTTTTTAAAAATTCTTAGCTTACTTAATATTTATGATTATAGTTACAAAAACTTGAATTGTTTTTTTCAAGAGTTTGATATAGAAAGGGTGAAGTTAGAAGTTTTTATATTATCTTTTAATGTTGAGCTTAATCTACTTTCAAATTTAAGAAAATTTATTGAAAAAGCTAAATATTTAAAATATATAGAAATAGTGAAATCAGAGAATTACAATGTAGAAAAACAAAAAGATAGTGAAAGAGAAATAATTGATCTTTGTCATATTAGAAGCATTAAATGCGTATTAAAATTTCAATTAGAGACATATAAAGAATATTTTGGTACTTATGAGACAATTTGAATCCTATACAGGAACTGTATGAATAACTAGTATTTAGCATTAATAACACTTTCAAGTAGCATATTTGATATGCAATAAAACTTCCTTGTAACATTTAACGTCAATGTAAAAAAAAACTTATGCAGGACATACTATAAGAAGTATAAGTTGTGTTAAATAATTTATTATCAAAACAGGCCTCTTATATTTAAAAAGTTTAACTTCTTATATATAAAATCAAATTATCATTATTTTTTTTTTTTAAATAAAAAAGGGTTAATAGCTTTTTTTAAATAATGAAATTAGAAGAATCACAAATATTAAACAATAACATAGATTAATATCTTTCTTAAAAATGTGTTAGTTACTAATAATAGTGTATTACCTGACTCCTCTAACTAATTATTATTTGCTATGCTATAAATCCAATTTAGCAATTTATTAAGTTTAATTTTATAATAATTATATATTTATAATACCTCTTTAACAAATTCTTTAGCAGTGTTTAACTAGAACTTACTAATCTAACTATCTATGAATCCAAACTCATATCTACGATCTATAAACCCAAACTTAAAAACCAAACCAATTTAAGAGTGCCTTAAACCGGATCTCTTATAGCTAACACCACTTACAAGCTTACTCTGCTTCAAAAACTAAACTTGAAATTTCAATCTCTAAAGAAAGCCAGCTATTTTGTTAGTAACTATTTTTTTTTTGTGTGTGTTAAAATTCACGCGAAGTCTATTTTTTCTTTACCTAGTTCAGAAAGTTGTGCCTAAGCTAACTTCTCTAAATAAGAGATTATAAAAATTTAATTTTAGAGTTAACTTTCTAGTACTCCTTTAAAGCTAGAAATGATGTTTACAGAAATTTTTTGCTTGAGTAATTAAAAAATACTTTAAAGTGTATAAATAAGTTACCCAGGCAATTGATTTACATTAGCCAATCAACTGAATTTCTGTCTATGAAGAGGAATCCCAGAGATACTCAAGATACTTGAAGTGCTGTTTGTAAAGAGTCTTCTGAAATATTATGAACGACAGTTATATTTTCTAAAAAAAAATTTACTGTGTTAGGACATAAAAGTACTTTAAACTGTATAAATTCGATTGTACTGTATAAAATTGACCAACCACCCCAACTTAAAAATTTAGTAAATCACGTGTCGACCAAAGTTTAATAGCTGGTAGAAACATAAAAAGATTAAACCTCAGTTTATCTTTGACAGCCTCTGGAGCCGTAGGGGAATGAACTGAATACAACGTTAGACTTCTTTATAATTACACATGGGATACAAAAAGGTGTTTGTAGAGAAGCGTGACAATTATAGAGGTCAAATATATTATATTTATTAATAGTTTGCTTTAAAAAAATGTGCTTATTAATAATTTATTTTTTGAAAAGTTTGATCGACTTAAGTAAATCTTTATACGCATTTTTGTAAGATTAAACCTTGTCATTGTGACTATATTCCTGTTTCAGAAGATTGTAAAAAGGGTAAAGGAGTCATAATATAAATAATCTATGAATAGAGGTTGGAGCAGGGTTTAATAATTTAGGTTTATCATGAAAATTTTGATATTTTAGAATTTATCATTATTAAAATTTAATTGGATTAAATTCTAAAATATCAAAATTCACGTAATAAACTCGCATTATTAAAAACAGTTTCAATCTCTATCTATGGATATTCATTAGCTTAAAATGGTCTATGAATTATTTATCTTATCGTTAT